CCCCAAAACCCCAAAACCCCAAAACCCCAAAACCCCTCTTAGTTAATAAATTTAAAATTATAATACCAACAGGAATGGATCGTGAAAAAGACTATATCCCTACTAAAAGAAGAGGTAAACATCAAAAACTGAATGACATTCCAGATGATTGAGTATCTGAGTTTGACGTTCAGGTTGATCAAGCGAGAAAGAACTTGAAATAAGGCATCAAGGAAAATGACTATCTTCGCCTTCTTTATAATCTCCATTGGGCTAGTTAAACTTTGTGTGGATATCGGCAAAATCATCCTTGTTCACTTCATTAAAATACAGAATAAAACTGAGGATTCCAAAGAAGTCCTTGATTTCCCAGATGGACCTTTGTTTTTGGCTGCAACTTTAGATTTGTGAATATCGATCTCAATTATTGTTGCAGGCGTTATAATAAAAATAGCCACTTATTATCCTACTCAAACCAAAGCAAAGCTGTTGTCTAAAAGAGTTCTGATTATTATCATTGTTTGATTTTGCTTGTTGTCATTAGTTTACTTTTTGGTTGTATATGCATTGGAGGATGGGCTCTCAGACTTTCTTGAGAAGAAACACTTGAGAATGAAAGCAGATAGGCAAAGACATCACGAACGCCAAAAGTATCAGCTAAGTGACCCAGTAGATATCAGTAATGGTCGGTACTACAGCTCGAACTCGATAAGAGAAGATTTCATTGCAATGTTGTTTCTTTGAATTACCACCACATTTGCAGTGTTATGTTGTTGTCTAACTCTTTACTCATGCTGAGCTCTTTCCACAGTATCAACATATCAAAACAGTGTGAAAGTACTGTCTCTGCTGCAAGAATTCCCTTCCAAGAAGTTTGACATCGAGTTTGCAAAACAATTGAATGAAGATTCAAAAGAATATAACACCTTCGGGAGGTCAAATGATGTAAAAATTTAAGAAAGATTTCAAACTAAAATAGTTTCTCAAAAATATGTTTGCGCCATGTTTTAATCAAATTTATGTCTCTGAGAAGCCTTAAGCTCTTTATTCGTCCTTACCTCCTTGAATTGAAGAGTATGTAAAGGTATTTGTGGAAGATATTACTCCATATTTTCCAAAATATACCCAAGAGTTTCAATACATCTCCTTTATCATGGGGTTTTGGGGTTTTGGGGTTTTGGGG